ATATATGTCCACAGAATAAGATGTGAAATATGGTTATCGCAAAAAATGCAATCATTTAAAAATGTTTCTGTATTTTATTTTTTAACGTATTTATTTGCAGAACCGGGGACTGAACTCAGGCCTTTGCACTTGCCAGGGAAGCGCTTATTTCACTGAGCCATCTCCCCGGCTATTTTTTTAAACATATTTAGTACAGGTTCTCACTACACAGACTGGACGTTGTGATCCTCCCGTTTTGATTACAGGCATGCGCCATTATACCCGGTCTCAATGGCTGTCTCAGTGCATGCTGCTGGGGATTGAACCCCAGACGGGTGCTTTAATCCACTGAACTATCTGGCTGGCCCTTGTTTCTGTATTTTTAACTCAAATTTATCTTCAGTTACCTTTTAGTATAATTCTCATACGCATATACACTACTACTGAAGGTAGGAAAATGAAAAGCCACCAGTGAAGATTCAGAATGCTAAGAACTACCTCCTAGACCACTGCCTCCCAGGGAGGAATAAAAGTTGTCATTGATGCAGCTAACCAGGCCGTGGCAGCCAGCAGCTCCACCCTTCAGTACTGACACAAGCCAGGCACTGACAGGAGCATGACATGGACTGAACCAGGATGCAGCTGAATGCCTGCGTGAGTCTTCCTACCCCTATCTGATGGATGAAAGGAAGGCTCAGCAGATGAAGGCGTGTTAGAGCTCCTATCTACTGGCCCCTCAAAAGTCCCACGCACTCACAGGTGCATTTTCTGGAGGTGGCTGGATCTTGGGTGTGGGATGCTGGGATTAAGGGTACCCCACCCTGGGCCGGTATTGAATTTCAGGTACAGAACAAGGGCTGCTGCTGGCGCTGGCTGCTTCACTATCCTGTCTGCCCTGCTTTGCCATGGACCATTTTTCCTCTGCTGCACCACTGCCTTGCAGCCAGCCATCTATGGACAGACACCTCTGCACAATGTGGGCCAAAGTAAACACCCCAACTTTAACTTTGTGTCCCAGGTATTTTGTCTCAGCAATGAGAAAAGACAGTTATTCAGTTGCAAAGCCAGACATCTGACCTCAGAGCCCACACTCCCAACTGCTGTCCCATAGAGCCCAACCTTACTGTGTGACAAAAATCCTTTTGGTTTTCAATCTTTCTTACAGATAATTTTGAAAGATACTGTCTTACAGAGAGCTATTCCCTGTCCTTGTTGTGGTCTGGGAAGTTTATCTTTGTCACCCCATGGGAAAGTTACTGGAATTCTATCGGGTTAACTCCAACCTACCCTTTCTGGTGCAGCCCTGGCGAGAATAAAGGCACTACAGTATATCTGTAGCTGTGGGGAGCCAAGAGGGTCCCGAGCCCGGCCATGAGGATGGCCATCGGGGACAAGGGCCTGGACCTGGGGCCGAACCTGGGTTTAGTTAATTCGTGAAGAGGACAGGGCCTCGGGCTGAGTGACTGTGGGAAGGGGTAAGCATGTGAGTGCTGCACAGTGATCGGTGTGATGCAGCTGAAGTGGTACCCAAGTTCTGGGGCTGCGCGTCAGCACCCTGGGGTGTCAGAGCCTCTGACCTCGAGGCGCACCCCGCCCACAGCGTGGAGCATGGCCCCCCTCATCCGGCTCGCGCTGTCGCCTGGCTTCAAAGACCACAGCTGCTCTTCTTTCAGGGAGCATGGTCCAGGTGGTCCTCCACACATTTGCTCAATATACCCTAACTGCTCCTTCCCGCAGAAGGACGACCTGTCTCTGTGGTGCAATCACATCTTGCACAGCAATGCTCTCCCCCTTCCAAAAACAAAAGCACCTGCCAAGCACCCAAGCTTCTGTATCTGCATATGCTTTAATAACAAAGTCACTGTAGCTGTAAATGGACACAACAGGAGACAGGAGAGTAGCACGCACCTTCCCCAGCTCAGCACACGCGGAAACTGAAAGCACACTGTCTGGGCTCACAGAGGCTACGGTTACTAATTCTGATTACGTATTTCTAAAACATTACGAAACAGTCCAAAGTTAGGTCAAACAATGTTGTTGAGAAAATTTTGTCCTAAAATTTTAACAAAGTCTTTTAAGAAAGTCTAAAAACCTCTTATTTTCCCACACTGACTCTCAAAACATTTAAGTTTCCTATCAGAACATCAGTTTGCAACTTAAATTTTTACCATACATGAAAAATTATCAAAAATATATTGATGGGTCTATACTAATTGTGACTGTATTTACATTAAGCAAATTCCTTTACCAAGTTCTTTATATACAAATTACCACTTGTCCTATGTGAAATTCATTAAAAAGTTACAAGCCACAGAAATGTCATAAAAAATAATGCATTCAATGTAACTTTTTCCATCAATGAAGAGTATTTTCAAATAATTCCACTGAAATGTACTGGTTGCTCCTCACTTTCCACTGTAGCAGTATTCCTTCCGAATGTCCTCTGGGATTTAGGGAGAAAAAAGACAAAAAAGTGTAAGTGCAAAGCAATAAACAGTAACATTTTCCCCCTGTATTTGAGGGAAGGGTCTACAGGGTGTTCAGGGTCTCACTACTAGACCAGACTCGTAGTGATTCTGTTTACAGCCTCCCAAGTGCTGGGATTACAGGCGTGCGCCACCATGTCCAGTCTTAAATGTACATTTAAAAGGCAAAATTTGATAGAAAGTTCACAGAAGGGCAGTGTCAGTGTTCGAAGAGGCCCCTCAGTGCCTCACAGCTAGAGGAAACGAGACGGGTCTTTTTCGAAGCTTTTCAGACTTGAAGATCGCTGACTGCAGCACTCTGCCCAGGACAATTCACCCGCGGGTCCCATCATTAACTGATTAACGAATTTATGTCTTAACACCACATGGGGTAAAAGGAGAGGCGACCTCCATTTGGAAGCCCCACATGTTAATGACGCGCTCTCCTCCAGCAAGGAAACAGGCAGGGGCAGCCGGTACCAGCTATGGGTTACCAGTCAGGTAGTGCTCTGCCGCTGGACCTTGTGACCGATGCTCTGTGTGTCCTCCTCCTGACTGGGCCGCTTCCCACTGCCCGGTGCGGGCCCCCCGGAGCTTCGTCCTGCACACGAGGAACAGTTGCTGAGGACAGGCAGGAGCGCGGGCGCGGCGCAGCACAGGCGCCGGGGCTCTGTCTTACCTGGCTTTAGCAGTGGAGCCTGCTGACCGTCTTGGTGTGCACAGTGTAAGATGCTGCTCCCCGGGGTACAACCTGCGGTATTCACAGAGCAAGTCCCTTAGGGGCGGATCTGAGAGCTATGTACTAAGACTACAAACACCACTTTTAGTATTTAAATTCAGTTATTTGCCTTTTTCCAATTCTCCCCGTGAGCCACAAATCACAGGCCAAGCCTGGAACCTCAACCTCAGCTTACAGAAGTGTGGAGGGTCCCCAGGCTCACTCCCTGCTCATGGTTCTCTAAGAAGCACATCGCTACAGGCACAAGGACTAGACACCTGAGCATAGGGGAGAGGGCAGCAACGAGGCCCTCCCCTCGTCGCTTCCTCACCTCCTGATGGACACCTCCCCTCAGACGGTGCAGGGCTGCAGGACGCAAGTGCCACGTGTGGATCCCACTGTGAGAAGAGCCACACTCCGGGCACTTGCATGTGGCCTGAGATGGGGAGCACCTGGCCTTGGTCTCAGCAGGAGCCGCCCAGGACAGGTCCTTTTTTACCTTCTGCTCAGAAAGCCTTTCGGCACAAAGAATGCAGCTTCTCAGGTACTCCCAGGTGGAAGCTGGAAGCCTGGGATCACCCAGGCGCATGTAGCACAGGAAAGGGTCCCACTGAGGCATCGGCTCACACCCTTGACAGCTTCCAGCCGCTGCCATGCCACAGCCACCTCGCTCGTCCGAGACACCCAGCACTCAGGTGTGGCCACGGGCTGCACCTCCTCTTCCTGACCCAGCATGGACGCGGTGGCCTCCAGCAGCACTGTGGCAGCAGGCAAACCTTCACTCACATGACTATGCCAGGGCCAATGCCAGCCAGCCAGCCACTCTGGGACCGTCAGGACGGTGCCCTTTGTGTCCCACGTGTTGCACCACTGCAAGCCCCAGTGGATCACGGTGCACACGGCTGGGAGGGCAACCTGAAAAGTCCCTCCAGCAATGAGGATTCAAGTGCCACTGCAACGCGACTCACCTTTGCACCACCACTTACTACGTAACCGGAGTCTACACCCTTGGAAAATGACACAACAACATTTACAAGGGACAATCCAAAATAGTACTGTGGACACAGAGGACCTGCAGAGAAAAGTGCTGTCAGTGTCACAACAGACAGCCACACTTGATACCTAAGTTAAAGACTGGGAAGAGGTTGCTGCTGCTACAGAATAACTAAATCCGTTTGCATACCCCAAGGCTCACTTTTGGTTTTCCAGTGAAACTGGTGTACTCCTCGTTTATAATCCTCCTCATTGGAGAGTCACATGGAGAGAAAAAACATTTTCTCAAGCTTTCACAGAGAGCAAATTGGTCAAGTAATGGCCGTGACTCATCCTCAGGTCAGACACTGACAAAATGATGTACAAAGGGCGGTACAGGACTACAGGATAAATCCTGAGAGTACTTGGCTGACCTTATCAGATACAAAAGTTACATTTCTTGGTATATAGGTCTTGCTTTATCTTGGTCTTAACCGTCCAGCAGAAAAGTATAAAAATGAGGTATATAAAGTAAAGCCATATTAATACGATGAGCTGTAAAAGGCTCAAGTCAATAACTTCTGAGGATAGCCCACTAATATTATAGATTGCTAGACACTGTTAGATGGTTTAGTTGAATTCAAACACTTACAGTATTTAGATGCCAATAGAATATTCACCTCTGACAGGACAAAAAAAAATTTAAATTAAAAAAAAAGATACAAAGGAAAGATCATTTTGTATTTATATATACAAGATAGGATAAATTTACAGCTACTTTCGCTTAACTCAATGAGAAGAAAGAGGTGTACTAACAGTGTTTGGACAGAATATCCTGTCTGCTTCTTGTACTATGGAGAACCACTAAGAAGATAACAATGTACAGTGTATTGACTATCAAAACTGTCCTATTAATCAGCTGTGAAATTGTCTCATTCATATTTCTCAATGAAAAAAAAGAAAAAAAAAATCCTCCTCATTAAAGTGTGTCACAGAGGGTTCTCAACCAGGCAGTGACTGCAGGCCACACAGCCACAACTGACTCTGCTCCGGCTTCTTCAAAGCGAAGAAGGGGGACCTGTGGGGGCCACCTGGGAGACCCTCTCTGAAGAGCAGCAATCGCCTCCATTCTGACGGAGCCTGCCCTTATTTCTACGCGCAGAGCTGGCCAGGACTTCTCAGTTGGCTGTAAGCGACGCCTATCGGTCTATCGACGCCTGAGGTGCGGCCAGGTGTGTTTCCTTGGAACCCTGACCCGCTGCTTCCTGCTGTGAGCTAGGTCGATGGGGTGACGAGCCAACGCCCCATGCTGTGCGCTGGGCTGAGTCTTAGACAGAGGCTGTGACTTCCTGGGGCTCGAAAGGTCACACAGCAGAGCTGAAGCACCGGAACCCAACATTAGCTACTAGCTCAGTTGTGTCATGCAGATCTGCACACTGCGGGGTGAATGCAGGCCTCCTCCCGCCCGGGAAGGAGCATGTCAGCCTACCTCTTGTCATCCTCACAGTCACTCATCCTCCAGCCACTCCTTTCTTCATGAATGAATAAAACCCGGGTTAGGTCGTGGGTCCAGGCCTTTGTTCCAGATAGCCATCAGCATGGCTGCACTCAGGACCCCTAGCTCCCCAAAACTACAAACATGCCTTACGTCTTTACTCTTGCTGTGGGTTACACTGGGTGTGGGAGACTGAAATTAATTAGACGGTGGACTGGTGTCACAGTCACTCTTCTCTCATTGCTGGGACAGACACCCAACACTCAAAATTTGGGAAGGAAAGGTTTATTTATTTAGCTCACAGTCCTGGAGGTTTCAGCCCATACTCAGCTGGCTCCAAGGCAGAGTGGCACATGGCAGAGGGCAACCATTCATGGTGGCAGCAAAGAGCAAGAGCAAATGAGAGGAACAGCTGCAACAGTGACTGCAGAGAGCACGTCTGTTTCCCTTAATTGCCTTCAGGCTGTCCGCCCCAGGCTGGGAGCAGCACTCACACCCATAATCCCGATGGATCATGAGTTAATCACAAACTCTAGAAGTCTGCCCCATGAGTGCACGAGGCTTTGGGGGGACAACTAGACACATACCGTAACAGCTGGGAAGATAGCTCAGTGGTCTAAAGCGCCTGCCTGGCTTAATCCATGGTACCACATGCTATACTGACCAGCCCCAAAGCCGGGAGTGGCAGCACATGCCTGTAATCCCAGCACTGGCGAGGCTGAGACAGGAGGATCACTATGCATCTGAATTGCATAGAGAGACATTGTATCAACAAAAATAAATTAAAAAAAATTTTGACTGGACAGAATTTCATTAATTTATCCATGGGATTACAAATACGAACTTTTTGGACTGAGACAAGGAAGGGCTCTCTAAAGATACTGAAATAAAATACACAGGAAAAATTCTCTTTGCAGCAGTGTTCAGGATAGACTCCAAGCCTCTGCACCGAGGCCTACTCCAGTCCTTCTTAATGCTGCTCTTTCCTGTGCTTTTGCTCTTGAGGCAGGGTCCTGGAAGTCCCGAAGGTGCCAGGCAGCCTGATCTGGCCCTGCCCTCCTGGCTCAGCCTGAGTGCTGGGCTTCCAGTGTGCACCGTCACACCCAGCCCCTCTTCCATCTTAAGTGACCATCCCTATTAGCTAGGGTTATGCTTTTTGTTCTCTTTTACTAGTTTCTTTGAGATCTTCTAAGCTGTCTATGGTGATCGTTATTTCCCTTTTTAGCAGCTTTTGAGGTATAACTCATATACTATAAAACTCAACTGTTCCAAGTGTGTAATTCAGTGTTTTTTAAAAATTTACTTACAGTTTTGTGACCATTCCCCTAATCCAGTTTCAGAAGACTTCCTACCACTCCAGAAAGGCCCTCAGCCTGCCTGCGTTCGTCCCTGCCCTCTCCCTGGGGCCAAGGCCAGCACTGTCCCCTCTGCCTCAGCCTGCGCGTGTCGCCAGGCCGCGTGAGGCTGGCTTCTGCGGGTGCTGCACACAAGCCCTGGCACCCTGCCGCCTCTCACGGCACCCTCACGTTCTCACTAGGATGTGCGGAGCTGCTGTCAGGTGAATGCGGAGGCCCGTGTGTGGACAGCCGGGTTCATTTCTGCTGGGCGGGCCCGGGAAAGGGAGCTTCTGGGCTTACAGGAAGTTTTCAAAGCGCTGTAAGCAGCGGTCTGGCTGTGTTTTCCAGCGTCCCTACGCTGCACGTCCAGCTCCCCTCCATACCCTCACGTCCACCACTACATCTGGCATTCTCTTCCATGCTAGTCATTCTAGCGGGCACAGAGTGATCCACCGGCCCAGTCTGCCTGCTCCTTCCCAGGTGACAGCCTTCAAAGTTTCATGCCCCAGAAGACCACCAAGCGAGGCATTTGGTGGCACTGCTCACCCCAGGTGGGTGTAAAGTGCTGCCTCACAATGTTTCCATCTGTGTTTGTTGAATGACTATTAACATGAAGGACAGATAGCTTATAACAGAAAAAATAAACTAGAAATAAACTAAAGCTGAAGCGTACTGCTGCACTCCCTTCGGCAGCAATGCAAAAATGAAACATACAGCGAGAGTGAACAGACCAAGGTGCTTATTACAAAAATGATAGAAAGCACATCAAGACCTCTGTATACAGCTTGCTCCCTCACACAAAAGGATGAGGAGAAAGTGCAGTTTGCGCTGCGCAGACAGGGATGTTCTTGTCCTCCTTGCTAAAGGGCCCTGCAGACCCACCCCGGCCGGGCCCTGTGAGCGCTCCGCGCCGGACGCCAGTGGCAGGGCGAGCGCTGTGCAGGCAGAGCGCCCAGAGGGAGACTGGCAGGACGCCCCGCCCAAGGACGCCCTCCAGGGACGCTCCGCTCCGCAGCCAGCTCCCAGCGCTCCCTAGCCCACCACCCTCTAGGACAACCTCTGCTCCTCAGCGCCCAGTGAGCACGCCTTTTCTCCTGTGCTGCTTTTCCCAGCACGTCCCACTTACAGCCTGAGGCCTACGCCACTTTTATGCCTTCTACGTCCTTTGAAAGCTGCACGAAACCCAGCCCTGAAGTGTGCTGTAGGAACATATTTACGTGTTTACCACCATTTCAAGATTTACTAACCTGCGTGTATCACAACTGCACTATGTTTATAAATGTGCTAAGTCGCACTGTCTTAACTGACTCGTCCCAAGCCTGGCCCCTGAAGGTCACTGCAGAGGATGCAGATCTGTGTGTGCCAAGACACGGCACACGCACCGCGGTCTCCGTCCTGCTCCTTGCCATGCTCTCTGCTTCACAGGGCTCTGTCACTTGCATACAGGCTGAGAAGAGGACTGATCTGGGGGAGCCGTCAAGTGTGCTCTGTGAGGCGAAGCTGCAGGAGGCCCAGGAAAGCATCTGTGTAGCACACGGCCTCCCCAGCAGCTCTGACACTGGGGAAAGGATATTCCTGGACCAAAGGCTTCTCTCAGCAGCCCAGAGTGGCACGGCACCCACAGAGGTGGTGCGGCAGGAGAGCAAGCGCTCACTGTGGGGGCCCTCTGGCCTGAGCCTCCGGCCATACCCCACTTTGGACAGCAGGGTCCTGGGCAAGGGCTTTGGCCTTCTGGTGACTTCCTCAGCCAGGAAGTGGGGCTCTTCCCATACCCCTAGGGCCTCCAGTGAGGGGTCAGGTGCACCCTTAAACACACACACACACACACACACACACACACACACACAGAGTGGGGGAGGGAAAACCTGGCTGCTTTTGTTCCTTTATAGTACTAACCCTTAGAGGGTAAAACAAAAGCTGCTCTCACAGCGATGCAGGACATTTTGCTTTTCTTTTTGTATTTTAGTACAGGGTCTCACTACACAGATCGGACTTGTAGTGATCCTTCCTGTTTTTCAGCCTCCCAAGTGCTGGGATTACAGATGTACGCCACCACGCCCAGTCTCAATCCGGTCTGTGCACCCTAAGGTGGGGCTGGCACAGCAGGCCTGGGATGGAATCCCTGGCCCCTGCGTCTGCCTAAGCAGGTGTTTTAACTGCTGAGCTATCTGGCGGGCCCTTATGCAGGATATTTTGGAATTATGAAATGGCCCCATTTTTAAAAAGGTTTTAGTATCATTTTAGAATGCATGATTTAAAAAAATAAGCATTTTTCAAGCTATCTTTTTTATCAAATTACTTAATTACTCCAGTAATACTATTTATGATTAGAGCCTTAGAAAACTGATAAAATGATTCAAATTCCCAATGTATATTGATGACATCACTGCTGTCACTCACAGAATTCGTACGCCACCATATATAAAGCACGTGGAGGACAATCGCTGGGCAGAGGGGCTCGGGTACAGAGGACCAGAGGCCCATGTGCACTAAACCCTTTGGCTTCATTCACCAACCTTCCTAACTACCTCAGAGCTGACGGGGCCCCAGGAGGGCACAAGACAGTGGGCACCCTGAAAATTCAACATCTGCCTTTCACTTGACTACATGTAGTGACGTTTTCCAGCTTTTAGATGTCACCCACGGAAGGAGGGGATGTGTGGATGTGCATACCGGTACGCACTTGCATAAGGAACCTGTTACGCTAATTTTAAGTGAAGCCTATTACAGCACAGTTCAGCAAGAAACACGTATGAGCAGGCATCTCTGCGGGGCACCAAGAGTAGAAAGGTCCTTTCCACTTACTTCCGCCACCACCGCCTCCTGGGAGAGTCTCTCCGGCAGCGTAGCCCATTAGGCCTCCATTGCCATTAGGGTTGGAAGGCACTGATGCAAGAAGACCTAAAGGGGGCAGAATTTCCTGTTTGACTACCGCGCAGACCAACGCCAGGCATGAGTGGCAGCCACAGGGCGCAGCAGGAGTGTGGCTCACCTAGCCCTCGGTACCGGGAGAGCTGCTGGTAGAGCTGCTTCATCCGCTCGATGTTTAGGCGGCTGGCTTCAGCGTGGTTCACCATCGGCTTGGGGTAATTCACTCCGATCAAACACTTGGCTACTTTTTGGATGCCTTCTGGTGCATTCCAGGGATCATAGATATATTTTGCCGGGAAGCCTCGTAGGACAGGCAAATAACGCCTTTTAGGAAAAGGATGAAAAGTTATTAATAAAATGCACCATAGGCGAATTTTAGCAGATCACTAGCTGTAAGTGACCAAAGTCAAATCAACACCATTTAAATGTTCTGTTTCCCCATCTCATCTCTGTTGTCCACCATGGTGGGGACACTGAATGCTGCTTAAGCATGACAAGCTCTTCCTGGATTAGCTATTCCAAACGCAGTAACAAGCACCCTTGATTTACCTGATATAGTCTCCATTGGGATCTGTTCTCCTACCAAAACCAACAGGGCAATAGCAGTGAAAAAACTGCTGGAAAAAGGAACTACAAGAGAGCCACATCCAACTTCCAGCATTTATGCTCCAGTCTGCGTCAAGCAGTAATTCTTCAAATACCTTCAGAAGCAAAGTAACCGATTAGTTTGCACACACACAATTCTTAAAGCAAGCATTTCTGAGGTCACTGCAGAGCAAGTGAGGCACAGAGTCTAGCACGGACCTGGAAAGCTAACAGCCTGAAGCTCCCTGCGTGGGCTGGGGCCACCGTGAGCTCCTCCAGGGAGAGGGCCCGACAAGGCCACGGCGGCCCTCTGGCCAGAATTCCTTCTCCACCCTCTGCAGTGTTGCTGTGTGGGGAGGGCAACGGTCACTGAAGGATGCCCGGAGAAGAGTGGGCAGAGGAAACAGCAGTGAGCCACTTAATAGGAAGGCAAAAGGCTAACCGAAATCACCACCAGAAACGTTGTGCCTGGCCTGCCACCTGCACGCTGGGAGCACACCCGAGTGCAAGGCACTGCAGAGGTGCGCCTGCCCCACACGACTGAATCTCAAGTTCCCTGATCCAAAGGGAAATACAGTTAAATGAGTTTTCTTAAATTCATGAATTAGTTGCTATTCAGCATGTTCATATATAACTCTGGGCTGGGAAATACGAAAGAAAAATGAAACAAACAAAAACAAAAACAAATAAAAAAGAAACCCCACCAGGATCAGAAATGGTCCTTGGATTGGGAAAATTTATGATACGGCCAGAAAGGTTAAACACGTAAGTCCTGTCAGCATAACCACAAGACGATGCCACAACATTTAACGTGATTCATTTTGTATAACACAAGTCCTGCTATAAAGCTATGATGTTTAAGTGAGGTGAAGTAATTTATATTTTAAAACTTATAGTATGCATTTGTAAGAACTCTTAAATAAATCTATCCTGTGATAGCAATAATCGCCTACAAATACATCTTTCAATAAAACCAGAATACTAAAACTTAATAGTTCTCTTTACAGCTAGGTGGCTTTAACCACTTAAATGACTTTAGGCCAGTTAATTTAACCAGTTTTCACTAAGATGGTAGTGATTTTACCACCCTGCCTCCAAGTGTTCCTGTACTGAGGAGATTACACATCGACCACTCGACAGCTAGACTCTGAACAAACAGGTGTGACAGACAACTTCTAGGATTGAAGAAAAAGCTATGGACGAGTCTGTCCTCAGGCCAACCCCGCGCCACCAGCTGGAGCTCTCACCTTCATGCCTTCTTCCCAGCTCACCCACAGGTCCCCTCGTGTCAGGAAGCAGGCGACCGCGTGCCGCGCCAGGTGGTGGATCCAGCCCTCCTGGCGGAGCTGGGTCATGATGGCGTCAATCCACGGAAAGCCAGTCCGGCCCTCGGCCCACTTGGCTAACGCCTCAGGGTTCTTATCCCAAGGGATCTGCACACAGATGGGGTTTCCTTCCATCTTATCAAAACGGGGGTTATTTGTTGCTGCTGTGTAGAAAAATTCACGCCATAACAGTTGTCCATACAGAGAAAGAGGAGGAGAACTGTTCTTCTTTACCTAGGATCAAAACGCAAGGAACCATTACTAGCAATTTTTAAGTCTGCTGAGAAACAAGCTCTAACTTTAGATAATACCTTTTTGTAGAGATCTGTTAGCTTGAAGTAAAAGAGCCGACAGGACAAACAACCAAACCGGAGGTAAGGGCTGAGCCCGGTAGGGCTCGCGAGCAGGGAGTTGGCATTCATCCGGGGTCTTTCAAAGTTTGCCACCCAAGCCTGAAAACAGAGAACATCACATTAGCCAACCGCTTTTTCTTTTTTAAAAATAAAAGCACAGTGACATCTTGCTTGTTGAATGGCTCCAAGCTTGAAATGCCCACAACTCAAACAGCAAAGCTGGAAAGAAGTCTGCTTAGTGTTGTAACTTAGTGTTGGACTGAAAATCTGGCTTGAAAAGACCTGCGTGGGCTGAGACACGCCCCGGCACGGACGCAAAGGCAACGCTGCAGGCTCGGCGCCGCTCCACACAGACAGCACTGCAGAACGCGTGCAAGTCCTGGGAGGTGCACTGCGAAGTGTGATCTGGGGGCTTCAGAACTATTTACTGCTTTTCCTGTTAATTCTTATAGGGAAAAAAACACGTGCAGCTCTCAAACTTTTCGGCATTTAAACACAAATGGGAATAAACTGAATTAGAGGACTAAGATGTGGTAATTGCTACACTGTGTCAACTTGAGATGCTGAAATCTGGACCGATGGGCTGGAGACTGGTGCCCCAGAGTGACTCAGCACAAAAGACTGCACAAAGGGGATAAGGAAGGGGTCACTGCTGCCCTGCCTGCCCCGCTTCCCTGGAGAAGTCTGGGTGGTCGTGGTGTGGTGTGGTGGAGCGATGGTCTTTGCAGTCAGCATACAAGGAAGAGAGAGGCTTGAAGGATGCCGCGCCTCCTCTGCTCTTTGTTTTCTGCTGCCATGAACTGCTGTTGTTTGCCTTGGAGCCAGCGGAGTATGGACTGAAACCTCCACACACTGACCTTTCCTTCCTTAATTTTGAGTGTCAGGTATTTGTCCCAGCAATGAGTGAAAAGTAACTAAGACACGAGGTATCACTATATTCAAAATTGATATATTTTTAAGTTACTCAGTTATGGGGAACAACCCATTAGTCCAGCCATAAATTTCCATGTTTTAATTTCAAAAAGAGATAAAAAAAAGTGAGCCTTCTTTTCTGCTAGCCAACCTCATGAACACTTATGTGAGGCTCTGACTCCAAGCCCAGGGCTAAGGGTAGCGACCTGTTTTGTCAACACCAAGGAAAGGTAACAGACCCTCCTCAGCGAGTTTTACTTTCCAAGGCTTCACTTACTCAGGGCCAGCCGTGGCCAGAAGATATTAAATGGGAAATGATGAGTTTTAAGTTTTATTATACCTTATTGTAAGTATTCCATCTATCGCTGATTACTGTAGGAACCTCTCATTTTGCCTAATTATAAAGTAAACTTAATTGTAAGCAGTTTCTACTGGCAGAGCCCAGTGTCTGCACGGTTCAGGACCATGGTCTGAGGGCCCACAGGTCTTAGAACAGATCCCCTAGGAGAGGGCAGCGCGCTGCTCTGTGAAGAACTCCACCCTTGCTTGCTTCAAGGTTTCGGCTATCCAACACAAGCTCAGAGAGAAAGAACAGTAGTATGCAAGTAGCGAAAGGAAAAATACCAGAAAGGGGACAAAGGGCACCTGAAAGACCAACTAGCTGCTAACTTCCAAAACCCACTTGACAAGTCTGAGCACGGGTGTGTTATCATACTTTTCTTTCCAAATGCCTTTCCAAACGTGTCAGTGCTTCAGTTTCTCCTCCTGGCCACACTGCGGAGGGCAAGCCATCAGTGTCAAAACCTGGAGGGAGGGTGGAGGGAGGGAGGAGGGCAAAAAGGCAGGGGAGGGAGGGGAGGAGAGAGGAGGGAAAGAAAGACAAAGGAAGAAGAGAGAAAGGGAGAAAGGAAGGGGCAAAGAAAGGATACATTATTGTTCTGAAACAAGAATTCTTACGTACCCACTCTAACTAGAAGGTCAAATTACTTTGCAAAAGTTATGAAAACAATAAAAATGAGTAAGTGGCCTGTTAGGCCATCACTCAGAGGACAGGACGCAGTTCCTACTCTTTAGGATCTATGCGCGTCTTAACATGGCAACAACAGATCATAAATTTATAGAACACATAAATAATGCACAGATTTATCACCTGTTTTCTGAGCTTTTTTTCTTTTCACATTACTCCTTTCTCTCTTTATGCAAACTACTTTATTTGACAAAATCAGAGGTCTGGAATTTTCTGGGATTCATAATGAGTAAGCACCTGAGGTCTACTCAGAGAGCTGCCAACACCTACCTAGCTCTTCCAGGGAAGGGACTCCGTATTTCTCGTCGTGGTCATCAGACAAAGGAGTCATGCATTTTTCTATGACTTCTGAAGTAATCGTTTCCACTGGAATCTCCAGAGGCTCCATTTTGCTGATTAGTGTCTGAAATCTTTTGTAAGTTAAAGGCGGCTGTCCACCATTGAGTTCTATGATCCTGTGAGGAGAGGAAAATGCAGTTAGGAATGAATCGCACTAATTTTTTGGTTGAAACGTTCTGAAAAGGCTTAAATTTGAAAATAAAATCTATCACTTAAGACCTAGAACGTTAGTTTTTCATATGACTAGAAAATATACTCACAATGCTTAACAAGTTTAAGGTCATTCTCTTTATTTTCTAAATTCCTGATAGGTGTCAAAACAGTAGGCCAAACTAAAACCAGTAAAACAAACAGCATTAAGGACTTAGGGGGGTAAAAACCCAACTAAGTGGCTTAATTAGTCTAACAGCAATAACAAAAGATTAATACATATAAACAAAAAATACACTGGCACATCATCTAAGGACTCTCAATCACTGACACAAACTAAAGCAGGCTGACCGCTCCCCCAATAAGTAATCAAGTTCAAGCCAAGACCAGGCAACTTAGGAACTTGGTGAGACCTTATTTCAAAATAGAAGCAATAAAATGAATCTGATGCTGGGCTGGCCAAAAGTAGTGGAGGGAGGAGGAAAAGAATGAGTGGGGCTAGTACACAGATCAGTTCCCCACAGCAAATGTGGACTGACAAAAATTTAAATAAGTAAATACATACTTAAAAAACAACCAAGCCAGCTCCCCGTGCACCCCCGCACAGCGATTGCGACTGGGGCGTGGTGGCGTGCGCCTGTAATCCCAGCACTTGGGAGGCTAAAAACAGGAGAATCATTACAAGTCTGATCTATGTAGTGAGACCCTGTCCTAAATACAGAAAATAATAATAATAATAATAATAATAATAATAACAATAATGAGCTGGGGATGCAGCTTAGTGTAAAGGCCCTGGGTTTAATCCCAAGTACAAAACAAGACAACACCAAAAGCAAACCTTACTTGTCTAGGTCATATAAGGTATGTGAAATTCGTACAATGACTTCTACTCCAGCTTCTGTAGCAAGCTTCTTAATAGCCGCATCCCGCTCCTTTCCGAAGGGTTCCGAATCATACTCAATGGAAAGTTTAGTAATATTCCACTCCTAAGACAACAGAAAGGACCAACAGTGCATATCAGATCTGATTATTTCTTTCTAGATGGCAATAAGTGAAAAGCTCAAAATCTACACACCAAAGGATTATACACATATCAAACTTCAAGTATGCAGGAAGAAAAAAGTAAACATATAAATTAAAGACATAGATAACAAATCTATTCTCACAAATTCAAGGCATTTAGCTAGGTTCTAACCAATCAAGAAATATGACTGCAAGTAGCTCTTCTGCTAAATGCGTTTGGGCAGCACTATTTTTTCAAATTACTTGTAACTTTATTATCACATCCCATCCTCAAAACACAACTCAGAAAGAAATTCCCACTCATACACAGAATTTTCTAATTGAACATGCACAAAAAAACCTGGCAGCGGCTGGTGCTTCTGCAAGGTAACTAGCAATCTATTTCCTGAGCATGCTATCTTCTTGACAATGATGATTATTTCTTCAAATTACCTTGAAAAGCCGGGGAAACACATCTGCTGGCTGTCCCCGAATCACAAACAGGCGAGAATTTAATTTTCGAAGATTGGCATCAAGATCCTCGAGACACTGAAGCAAAAATCTAAGGTGGAGAAAACATTAAAATGATTAAAAAGATAAAAAGTGTTACAAAATCAGTTTATTCAATAATCTGAGATGCCAACCCCCTCTCTTACACTTACTGATGTATGTTATTATTTGTAGAAAACAAAGTTTTAAAAAGTGATGTTTCCCAATACCTTAGTGAAGATCTGAATTAAATCACTAATATTCATTAAATACAAGTGTTAAGCTAGGCTGCTGGTGGCGGGTGCCTGTAATCCCAGCGCTCGTGGAGCACAAGGCAGGAGAGCTCATGTGCAAGCCCAGCCCGGGCAACTCAGTGAGACTTGTGTTAAATGAAAAAGAGCTGGAGATGCAGCTCTCTGCAAAGAATCTGGGTTTAACCTTCAGCACTAAAAAAACAGAAAAAAAAAGTTAGAAAAATTTAAGTTGTGAAAATACAAATTATGTTAAAAATATCAAAGCAATTAATTACATGAACTGATTTCATTGTTTAAACATGATAAATATTTCCTATATGAAAATGATTTTTCATATAAAAAAGACCACCTAGGAAAATATGGAAAGGGGGCCACAGATAGCTGTCAGGCGCAGAACGCTGAGCTCACATGGGCAGGCCCCAAGAGACCCCAGCTCTGTGAAGCATTATTTAATTTTCTCATTTGTAAAACTGGCACAGTAACAGGATTTACCTCACAGCAGCATTTTTGTGAGAACAGACTGAATTAACACGGGAAGTTCTTGGAACAGTGTCTGCCCATAGTAAGCATGATTATGTAAGTGTTACTCACTACTTTTTAGCCCCTCCTTCCTCCTCATTTCTATTTTGGCTACAATAATTTGAGTGAGTTCTTATCTCTTGCTTGTATTATTTACTGCAGTGCCTCAAAATAGACCTGCCTACCAACAATCTCTGTGCCCTGAAATCCATTCTAACACACAATATCAAGGCTTCCGGAGGCAGGCTTTCCTGTACAAAGGTCTCCCAAGACTCATTCCTTACATAATAAAGAACTAATTACTTTCTTGATTACTCACCTAGGATCCCAAGCCCCTATTCCTCACCAAGCCAAAGTATTCCTCTTTGTCCTAAACATTTAGTTTCCTGAATTTGTTCCATGCCCCTTCCTGGGCCTGGAATCCCTCTGCCAATTCCCACCTTTTCTTACCTCGCTAAGAGGTAACATATCCTCATCCAAGAGAAATTATCAAACTGTCCTTCATATGTATCTGTATCCTATGTTACACAATCTTTTTTTAACCTGTCTTGGCTTCTGTATTTGGCAAACAAACATCATAGGCCTTTTACAACTTGTTGACCATTAGAAATAGGATAAAATGACCCAGTAAGATGGTCTTATACAACTGCTTAATGGATTACAAACACAAAATTATCTAGTAGAATCCTAGCACCAGGCAGATACTGATTAAACAGAAGTTATCATTATTTTCCTTTATGAATAATTTCTATTTTTGAAAAACCCCATATGGGAGCCAGGGAGATAGCTCAGTAGGATGAGCACTTGCTGGCAAGGGCAAGAGCCTGAGTTCAACCCCCGGTTCAGCAAAGAGAAAAAGAAAAAGAAAGATTCTCTGAAAAAACCCACATGTTTCTGTAAGTAAGTAGACATGACAACAGAAAACAATTAGTGGGATTCCTAATCACTGTGAACCACGGTGAACATACACCCGCATCCAAATGTCACTCTGAACCAGGGTCAAGGCTGACATCTACACGGATGTATATTTAGAAAAAGGGACAGTACAATTAAGACCCAATCAGCTCGTCTGTATAATACTTCAGAAGAACCCGACTGAGCCACCAATGTCCTGGGATGCAAGTGTCAACCCAAAGACAGGTGCAGTTTCTTTTCAGTGCTAGAGGAAAAATATAACTTGAAGACTACGCAAAATTTAATCCTTCATCTTTTGCTGTGGGCTAAGAAAAGGGGAAGATACTTCCACATTCGAATTCAATGCACTTCCAAGAGCACAACTTCAACCTTTATACATGGCAAGTGCCACAAAAGCATTCAATACTGAATGAATAACTTTCATATTCCATTAGATATAGAGAACAATTTTTTGTGAGACATTTTTCAGACCTCTCATTTGGCACACAGTATAACTGTTTTCTTGAACTCCACTCATTTGAAGGCTCAGCTGACAATGCCACTGTCTGCTACGCAGCTCAGACTGGCAGCAATCCTCCCACGTCAGCCTCCCCAGCACTGGGATCACCGCGCCCGGTCTCTGGTCTCTGCAGTGGTGGCTCAGCGTGCCCAGGGGCAGAGCTGGCAGGGCCTGTGGTGCTGGGGATCGAACCCTGGTCCCTGTGCTTGCCAGGCAGGCGCTTAGCTAGCTTGCTGGCCCGATGATTGGTTTTCAATAGGTCAAATAGTAGTACAACTTATAATCTTTCAAATAATTTTACTGTACACATTGACAGCTTCCATGTTATTTGATTACAATACTAAATCACTTTAAAATAAATGGAAGAGGTGTTAGGTGAGAAAATGTATTTCTTTAAACACTAAAAACATTTTTCCCTCCAGAAATCACTGCTTATTTCTATTATAAAACAAACTATGCCAAAGGTTTCTGGTACCACCTCCAGAAGATGATTTCAACATAGATCAACAGAAATAGTTTCTTAAGTAGGTCATTGCTATAGCAACCACTGCAAGGCTTAGTATACTCCTCTCAACGACCTACTTTCTGGTCTGTGCTAGAACAGCTTTATATAACTAGTATTTCTAGTTCTGTCTGTAAAACAATCTAAAAAAGGCAATGGCAAGATACAGCAGAAGCCCACTGCTGCTGAAAACAAGGCTTTGTGATAACTCATGTTATCATACGAGGACACAGCCATCTGCTTCTGCACTCGAGCTTCTAAAATGGGCCTTATCACATGCTCAGCAATGAAAACTGCTTGGATGATCTAAACCAAAACAATTCACTGCTGGTCGCAGAGATTGTATGTAAAGCCTATAAGCTAGCGTCACTAAAGCCCACAGGGAGATTATCTTCTATCCTCTACATGAAACAACAAGGTTAAATGTAGGAACAAAATCAGAGTTCTAGATACTATGTATTATCATGAAGAAAAAGATTCTAAATTATAAATGAAAGTTTGTGATGGTTTATTAAAGATTTTACAAATAATAATTTGTGTTTCCATTAATTGAAAAGTTTGGGTATGTTCTTTTTCTGGTTTGTAATTAATTTACAACACTAGATTTGCCCTATACACAACACAAAGTCACTTTTCATAACAAAGATTTTGCATTACATTTTAAACTAAGTTTTACATGTATCACTTTAAGGCATCAATATAATCTTCTAACTGCAATATATGAGAGAAATTAGAGAATCGTAAAGTAACATGTACTTCTGGCACAAAGGAAAGTTCCTTAGTCTGATGCTATGGAGTAATTTTGAGTTTGGCAGCTGTAGAGGCAACTAGTTCAACTGTTTCTTTCATTTTTTGGCAAAACTGGGGATTGAACTCGGACCCTTGTGCTTGCCAGGGAAGCACTTATTCTACTGAGCCATCTGCACAGCCCCTTTAACTGTCTGTTGACTCAAACATGAGAGGTACTGTCTCTGGTGACGTGACTTCCTGAAATGTTCTTCAAGACTCAGTAAAATACTACATAAAACACAGCGTTCCCTTGATTTACCTACGAAAGTCATGGAGGAATCAGCATAATTACTTAGTTGGGAGACTACTTTGAGTATGAGAAAGGTGTTTCAGTTTTGCCCTCTTCCCACTAATTCCACTATTTTTCTTCCAATCATTGTGACAACCAAAAATGCCTCCACAAAATTCCTGAAATACTAAATCACTAAAAAGTGACACTGTTCATTACTATGTAACTTCCTTTGCTGATTTTTGATGAGGTTTTGATGGGAACTTCATGCCTAGAAGAGCCCCCCTGAACGTGCTGTACGTGAACACCACAGAACATGCTCTGAGAGAAAAAATAAGTAACATTTATATGCTATAGAAAGTTACTTCTGGATTCTTCTTCCTTTTCTGAAATAGGGAAAAGACTGAGGCAGAAATTTTAGGACCTGGTACGACAATCTGACCAGCAGAAGGTAAGAGGAGCATGCCTGGCTGCTGGCTGTGATGAGCTTGTCCACCACGTTCCAGGCCTAAACAATTCCCAACATGCAGCAGGAGTCCAGTAAGTAACCAAATATGTAAGCAAATGATGGCAGGAGAAAGAGATTTTAAACTTGATTTGACAGTGGAGAAAAAACACAAAGGGAAAGAATATTCTTTGCATGTCTAGTTTGTGGGGTACTTTCACATAGGCTATATCCCCTGCAACCCCATAAGTATGTCAACTAAAAAATTGTGGAATTTTAAAAACTGATGGGATTAAAAGCCCATCAAAAGGTCCAGCCAAATAGCGCAGCAGATTAAAGAACCTGTAAGCAGGCACAGGAGCCTTGGGTTCAATCCCAGGGGCCTGCCGTGCTGGCCCCGCCCCCGGGGCATGCTGAGATGGCAGTTGAGACTGGGCATGGTGGCACACACCAGTAATCCCAACTCTTGGGAGGCTGTAAACAGGTGGATCACAAGAGTCTAATCTAGTAGTGGGACCCTGAAAAAAAAAAAAAAGAAAGAAAGCCCATCAAGCACATTTGCCAGGCTCCACTGAGCAACTGGGTAAAAAATTAATTTGCACATGTCTGTCCAAACTGTACTATGTGCACTATATGTGCTATAGGCGCTATATGCAGAAATGCCCTTTTTCTACAGACTGTGTAACCATCCAAAATGCTTAGGGAGTTCATCCGACAGCTGCAAGGATATGAAGATGACTAGAAGTTTTCATCCTCAGAATGGGAGGCAGGCAAGTCAGTGAATGTGGAAGAGCTTAGGTCATACTGCCGTACAAACTGCTCCCTAATCTCTGTATTTTGAAACAACTAAAGCATATTCCTCACTCATATTCTATTGCAGACAAGCTAAGGCATTTCTGCTCACACTGAATTGGTCAAAGC